ACTCTTTTCTTACCTCTTCTTCCTTTGTTTAGTCGAGTTCTGATCATCTAAACCATTGAAGCCAGGTCAAGTAGTTACTGTCTGCAAGTATGGGTATTCTTGTGCGTCTCCTCTCCATATCAGCTAGATGCTTCACTCCCCACTCTAGTCGTCTGTGGCTATGTCCCTGTCCCTGGGTCCAGGAGTCCCAGGTCTTGCCATACTGCTGGCCAACCAGGTCTCAACCCAGGTTGACAGGAGTCTATGAATGTGGCTGGACTTAGCTCACAACTTTATTGCTGTTTTTCCCCCACTTCTCCTTATTGGTGACCAATGTCACCAGCAAGACCACATGCCTGATCCTGCATTCCCCTTGAGTCTTAGTCTCGGAAGGGTGTTTGCCCTGAGGGGACCCGACCACTTGCCTTGATGGCTCCCAGTCGAATAACTTGCTTGTTCTTATAGTAGTCAATCAGACTGCCGTTATTGTTTTTGATTTTTCCTGCTGGTCTTTCTTTCAAGAAATATCTTCTGTTTTTCTAGCAGCTCCAGGCTGGTCTGCTTGACCTTTCAAGTAGAAATTTCCCACCTCAGAAGATTCTGGATGGGGTTCAGGAGTCCACCTATGGTCTTATGCAGTACAAAGGCTCCTCAGGAAGCCTCCTTCACTGGGTAAGTTCTAGCCCCATTTTAGGTATTTCAGACTTACAAGCTTTCTATGGTGATGTTTCTGGCTATTCTTTTCTCTTCCCCTCAAGAATCTATTTTATAATAGTAGGCAAGGGAATTGGCGACCACTTTTTATGACTGACAGCTGTGATAACTTTCTACTTCCCTTAAAATGCATTCCCTGCTTTAAATGATTACACTGCAGTCTTCATTAGGGGAATGTCTGAAGAGCTCCCCTGTGCAGATACAGATTAAACTCCTTAGCCTAGACACTGTCTTGCATATATAAACCATTGTCATCAAGGAGGAATATGGCTGCTTTAGCAAGAATGAATTCCCAACACACAAGCACACAGTTCAGATTGTAAGGTGCTAAAATACTTTAAAAACGTTTTTATCTTTCGGTGTGTTTGCTTGTACTTTAGTAATTGCTTAGCACTTACCACTACCATAAAGTACCTTGAGTACTAGAGCAATTAAAAAGGTAGGAAAAAAGTAACAATGGACATTACACTTGTTTTATATCCACAACTCATTTTATATCGAGTTGTGAGATAGACTATTATAAGTATTTCAAAGGACAAAATGTCTAAAAAGAGATTGAAATATAATTTGAACTTTGAGGTAGTATACATAAAAGTGCACAAAAGAACTCAAGAAGAACAGACACTTTATTTTTAAGATAAAAGTTCTATTTTCTTGTGAGGCAGCAACAAGTGTCCAGGTACAGGGAATACGTAAGTACAGAGTAACAATGGTTTCACCACTGGAAATGCTGTTTTCTGGGGAAACTTTTGTTAGAAAAACAAAATTTTTTAAAAAAATTTCTTTTTAAAAAGATTTACACAGTTTCAACAGATGAAAGATGAGTTAAAAAAACATAAGTTATATTCTTCAACAGGATTGTATAAACAAAGTATTGTTCAGGGCTTCTCTGCTTATTAACTTAAACAGAGTAAAACTTAAACCTTAAAGTGCAGAGTTATATATTCTTAGCTTTATTTTGCAAATTCAGCACTTTCATTGGCCTGACTTTGAGACATCAAAATTCCAAGTGTTAAGGAATAAATCTCAAGTTCAAAATAGGACAGTAAATTCAGTAGTGGCAAATTTTATTTCTTTTAACAAAAGAAAGAAAACCTTGGCAACCCAGTCCTAATCTTGGCCAGAGAGAACACAGATGGTTATAAATGCTGCCACTTGTTAATGCCGTCTTCCAGTAAAAAGCCAACCACTTAAAACTTTTTCGAGGTCTTTCATGTTGTCAGTTACTCCACTGTTAGGATTAGCACCTCCTAAAAGGCTGACTTAACCTGTGGTCATAAATACACTTTAAACAAAATGATGGATCTAGGTAAAAAATAATTTTGGCATCCATGCTCACCATATTATCCAGAGAGGATTAAAATGGGTATTTTTAAAAACCTAAATTGCTCACAAAAGTCATGACGAGTAAATACCCTTAGTCATGATCAGAAACTTATACAAGTTTTACCATCACAAGGAAGAAACTGTCTAAGGTAGAAAATAACTAAGATCAGCAAAGTGAGTAACAACCAGAATAGCTCCTTTAGCTGAAAGATACATGCCACCCATCTCTGTGTGAAGTAGTGAAGAAAACATCAGTTTTACAAACATTTCACCCAAAGCACAATTACTGCAATGGAAGCAAATTTTCTTACATTTCTAAAAATTAAATTATATTCCCTTTGAAGCCATTCTCATTTTTTACCTTCCGTATAGTCATCTATAGAATAACATAATAATTATGGAATGTAACTGTAGAAAACGGTATTCTGCATTCTATTGAGAACAGACACCTGTGAACTAAGGGGTAACTAAAATAGCTGAATGGATCTACACGGTTTGTTTTTTCAAAATTGCAATAAAGCTTATATGCTTCAAAATTAGCCCTTTGGCACTGACAGTTAGGGTTGTTTGTACATTGTACCTTTCTTTTTCAAATCTCAGGCTCTATTTCTCCCAAACCTGAGGGGTCCATTTGGTTGTCTTATAATTCATTTACTTGCAAATTTAACATTCTTCTTAGAACCAAATATTAGAAGCTCTGTATTTATGACTATGTTATGAATCTTAAACTTGTTCTTCCATTCCAACTTTATATGAAGGATATATGTATGGAACTCCACAGAAGGGTGTCAATTAGACAAACATACGCAACAGAGTGAAAGACAAAAACTTTACCAAGTGGCATTCTAGTTGTAAAATACCATTGTGACTTGTGTGGATGGAGACAGAAGAAGGAAAGCATAAGGCAAGGAAAAGAGCATAGATTTCATAGTTTAGGTAATCCTGAAACTGAAGTTTTGGGTTTTTAAAAACTCTTGCTTTTCACTTCCTCCTCTACCCCTCATAATACCAACTTACCTAGTCTCAGTTTTACCTTTCCTTTTGTCCTTGTGATAGAGCAGCTGCTCAGTGGTGAAGTGGCCTCACCAAAAGGCTTTAAGAGCAGAGAAGGCAGAGAAATAAGGTTCTCAAAAAACTCACCAATCAGAACATTTAGTTCAGGAATAAGTGAGTTTTTCCTGCTTTAGAGGCCATAATGTAAAGTCCTAAGTAAAATAGTTTTGAATGGAAAAGGTAGCAAAATTCACCAGTCCTTACCAACTAAAACCTGACTGATTTATTGACACTTTAGTTTCTCTGACTTACCTAAATATGTCACCATTTTAAACAGGGCATATTTTAAATACTGAAATGTTTTAAAGGTACATAAATTTAAGGTAGTCCTTTCAGAAGATATTTATTGCAACCATTAGGTTGTCCTCAACGAGCTATGTCTGGGCAAACTGACAAACTGACTTTCAAAGTAGTATTCTTTTTGTTAAGTATTTTAAGATTTTATTCTGCCCACAATTGTTTTTGTTGTTAGGTGCTATTAAGTCTGTACCGACTCATAGTGACCTTATGCACAGCAGAATGAAACACTGTCGGATCCTGGGCCAACCTCACTACTGTTGCCACGCTTGAGTCCATCAATAGGTATAGGAATATTAAATACCACAATAGGTACAGGAAAATGAAATTATTGCATCATAAGGTAGTATATAAAGATAAGGATACTTAACAAGGTTGGCTGAAACTCATTTTTCTTTTTTAAACTTGCTCTTTAATGTCACTACCACATACCCAGAAAAGAACACTGCTTTCATGTGTTATTGGCAGTGTTTTTTATTAGGATGAACCCAAATCCAAATTGTATGTACTTTTTAGAGGGGCCTGTTGTTTATGCTTTCAGACTCTTCTTGTCTGTTTTCCCCACTATGTGGAATATTATGGGGGGAAGCTAGAAAAATCTGTAAGCAACAAATCTCAGTGCCAACTGCCATAAAGAAAATGTCAGTCACAAGATTCTGTGGCTACGGACTGCTATTCAAAGGATTACACTCCTGGTAAACTACTAACCCTGACCAAATCCACAAGACAACAACATCACAAAAGCAAAGGAGGGAATCCATGCACAGCCATTTTAGGATCTCTTGGGGCTATGATACAGTGATGGTTAAAAATGGAATGATATTTGTGGAAAAGGAGAGAGATTATATGATAGACATTTCGTAGAATACGAAAGGGGCTCCTTACTCCTAGCTAGCAATCAACACTGGGCTGTTCCCTTTGGGCTCACTGACTTTTAAAACCAAGTTCCAATGATAGGTGAGAATATATTAAAGCGCTGATCTCTGGACTATAGTTTTTCAGACCACATCGTGAAATGTGCACAGGAGTAGTGAAGAAAACATCAGCTTTACAAACATTTCACCCAAAGCACAAACTTCTGACATCAACATAAATCACATAATGTACTAATATTGCTTTTTATCTCTTTTTATATATATTTGTTGAATGCATTTACCTATCAATTATTGTTTGGGAGAAGAACATAGTCATTAGTTTAAGATTGCTGGGAAAATGTCAACAATTAATCCCTTTGGTCCCAAAGCTGAAAACAGCTGAGAAAAGCACACATCTAGAAAGGGAAACAAGAAACAGAGGCCACCAAAGAATCTTTTGAACATCCTGTTTGCTACGATTCAGAAAATGTAACATTGGTATTATAAAATAGTCATTTTCATATAAAAGATGGTTCTTGCAGCATCGTTCGTATCTCCCTTCAGGAATCATGTTTGCAGGGATCAGTTGTTTTTTTAAAAGAACAAAAGCAATGAGATATCAGCCCTCCAAAAGAAAAGAATGAGAACTTTCTTGTTCCAATCAATGCTTTAAGAAAAAGCAGCCTAAGAACTGAGGGTTGGCCTTCATGAGCAGGACAGAGGCGTCACAGGGGCTGCTGCTTTCTTCTAGACGCTGCTGTGGAAAGCTGGAGCACATCACAGCCAACTGAGAGCACATCACGCCATCATAGTCAGGTGATCTGAGGAGGTTCTCAGTTTGCCAGATCAATGGCTGCACAGCTTTGGAACTTACCCTTCAGCTTCTTCGATTGGTTCTGGTGGTGGAAGTAGAGAGGCCGATGGCATGACTGTACTTGTTCCTCGAGAGACTCGCTCTTGCTCTGTGTTTGTAGACACGGAAGCCACTGAAATGGGCTGCAGCAGAGTGGTTGTCATGCCAGTGGTGACTGTCAGGCTGTGCCCTGAGCTCTTGAGGGTGAGATCTGGTGTAGGAAGGAGTGGCTTGAGGATGCTGACGAGGCAGAAAGCAGAGCCACTTTTAGGAATAAAATTCACCTTGTTCTTGTCAGGACAGTAAAAGGCTGGGATTTCATGAAGTTGTTTTGGCCTAGACACAGAATAGAAAACTCAATACTTATAAGTCACTGAACACTGGAAACAAGTAATTCTATTTAATTTAACTTATAGATACATAAATGGAATGCAAACTTGAGCTACTTGTCAAAAAACTTAAACTGCCAAAGACCAAAATGGTAATGGACAAAAGATTCAAACTATGTTATACTGGAATGCTGGAAGGAAACCATGCTTGTCACTTCTAGTTAGTTTCCTGGTCAGTCCCTTGTGTTCTACGGGTGGCTCAGGCTGCCACCAACAACTTTGGACCATAAATAGCCAAGAATAACAATGATTTTCCTAAGGCAAAATAAAACTTAGATGTTTAGAGATAAAAATGTTCTAGAATCATGATTTTTTCCCAAGGCTTGTACTATTCTGAAGGGAGATGACATGGAAAACTAATAATCTACAAAGTCTAGCTATTGCTAAATTCCTCCACTGTGCGATTAAATTTTAGTGAGCATGGATTTTCCCTCTAGGTTCCCTTAAAAATGTCTTTGATTGAAACAAATCTTTGAGTCAACCATGATGGTCTTCTAAGCAACATAATGTAAAGCTTAAAATAAAACTAAAACTAATTCTAATTCTTCCCCATTTCCAGGTGCTCCTGAAGATGAATCCAAATAGTTGAAAGTTCATGGTGTTAATGGTATTCCATGAAAATAAGATTAAAAAAAAAAAAGGTTAAAATAGCATGGAAGTGCTACAAAGAAATTAAGGTGGTAGAACTTAAAATAAATCAAAACTCAGGAAGAAAAGTTTTTTTTATAATCATATGCTAAAAGTATTGTTCTTAGTTCTCCATGTAACAAACTCAGTTCAATAAAAATCTAAATGAGCCATGTCTACACCAGGTTCTGAGGGCACAAAGATGAAACATGAGCTCCGTGCCCTTAAGCTCATAGCAAGGGGGAAATGGACTACATCTGTAGTTCTTAGGAGGAAAGGGCTGCTAGGGACAGAAGTGTATTTCAATGAATTTATCTCCTTTGTAATTTTATATTTTTTAAATGTATTTCAAAATATTATTCTGAGAAGGAATCAATTAACTTCAACCTGCCAAGAGGGTTTACAGCTCAAAAACGTTAAGCACGTCTGCAAAAGGGTCTGATGGATGCAACAGAAGTGGTTTGTAAAACATTTAGTAGTAGCACAATAGAGTGGAGAACCAGTGGTATGGAGGAAGAAGAGTTTGGTAGGAAAGAAGATTTCCCAAAGGAAGTAGTATCTGAACTGGAATAAGGAAGAATGAGTTAGCAGAGGATGTAAAAGTGTGTTCCAAAATCTTTGGGATAACCAATCTTGTTGATCAATAGTAAATATTACTTATGGATATACTAGTCTCACAAAGTTAAACTTCCTTGCTGCTTTCATTAAAACAGATCTATGACACATTTCACATAACAACAACAATGACCTAACCAGTCTCCAAATGAAGGAACAGAATATTAACAGCAAGAATCATCAAAATGTATCCCTTGTGCATTCTTTCCAGTCACTACCCTAACCCACCAAGAGTAATTTCCCTCCTAAGTGCTAAGATTTAGTATCTGGTAGCATTAATATTGTATTGCTCTGATGTCACCAGTATTTTAAATACCAGCCGGGTCACCCACGGTAGACCACTTTCAGCAGAGCTTCCAGACTAACACAGACTAGGAAGAAGGAAAAGCAGACTACTTCTGAAAGGTCAGCCACTAAAAAAGCCTTATGAACAGCAGCAGAACACTGTCTGATAAGAGTGCCAGAAGATGAGCCCCTATGGTTGGAAAGCACTCAAAACACAACAGGAAAAGAGCTGCCCCCCCCCTCAGAGAAGAGTCAATCTTAATTCTGTGAATGGAGCAAAGCTTTCAGGACCTTCATTTGCTGATGGGGTACATACAACTCAAAATGAGGGGAAATAGCTGCAAAGTTTTACAACTTATAACATTCCTGTGTAAATAAAGGAATGTTATAAGTAGTAAAAAAAAAAAAAAAAAAAAGGAATGGGATGCATTTATGGGGGCGGGGGGTGGGGTTGGGCTTGATAGCAGCTTAGGGTGGTGCAGACCTCAGACAGCAGTAACACAGAATACCAGACAAAGCAGGTTCAGGGGACAGTCCCAGAACTCTGAATTACATATAAAGGAATATTATCTGACTTATCATTGGAGATACAGGTGTGAACATTTTTTTCCTGTTCATTGGTCTCTCACTATCTGTGCACCTCCAGAGTGAATGGATGTCTCCCTCCCCCAGAGGGTTCTACTACGCATGCACACTGATTTGCTCAGCAAGGACCATAGTGTGCAGAATCTAAGAAGCAGGAGCGGTCAACAGGAACTGCTTAAAATGGAATTGTCTCCCAGAACGGCTCCAGCTAGCTGAGTTGTTAAGTACTATGGAGTTGGTTCTGACTGATAGTGACCCTGCACAGGGTTTCTGAGGCTGCAAATCTTTATGGGAGCAGGAAGCCTCATCTTTTTCCCGCAGAACAGCTGGTAGTTTCTAACTGCCGACCTTGAGGTTAGCAGCCCAATTTGTAACCACTATGCTACTAGAGCTCCTTAGCTGGCTGAGTGAGGGGTGAGGGTATTAAAGTTATGTTTTGCTACTGTTTTTTTTTTTTTTTGCTGTTGTGGTTTTATTTTCTGGTTCCCCTTTTACCCTGGGGGAGCTCTTTCTCTTTCTATGTTACCTCAGAAGAGACAGCAATTGGGGTCATATAGCCAAGCTACAATTATACCATATAAAATCCCTGAACTATTGAGACGAGAGCCAATACCAGCTGCTATACACCAGACAGACAGCCAACACCTGCTACAGGTACGCTGAGTTGAATAATATGAAAAGTGAAACGGGAAGAACATCTCCTGATCTTATATACCTGCAGGCAACCAGAAAGCTTAATAATAAATACATCAACACACTTCCAACTAATTATTGAAAACACATCTAATTATTGCAGATGTCCCAGAGACAGTCCAAGATTTCAGCACATGTCCCAAAACTAGAGTAACTGAAACAAATGAGCTGCAAGTAGACCTAGACTTCTCCATTGGAAGGAGGGCAGGCTTTGAAACTGCCTGAGAAGGAATGCAGGAGAATAGTATTGAGGTGCATCCAAATGCTTCACAGAGGGACTGAGAAAAATAAGGAGGACGTCATGAAAGGACTACAGGAAAAATCAAATAAAATAGAAATAGCATTAGAAACAATTCAAAACCTGCAAAAAGAGGTCCAAAGAATTAATAAAATATCAGAAATGGACAATACACTGAAAAGGGTAAAGGAGTAGAATTGTAGAGATGGAAGCCAGAACCAGCAACGTGGAAGACAAATCTCTCAATACTGCTAAGATAGAAGAGCAAGCAGAATAATGGATTAAAAACTCTAAGATTCATTTGGGACAACATGAAGAGGAAGAATAACTTGAGAATTACTGGAATTCTGGAATAGGAAAAATCACAGAAGACCACAAAGGAGATAGATAAAAAACTGCTGGAAGAAAATTTTCCTAACATCCTGAAAAATGAGAAAATACACAAGCGGGTAATGTGTGTTCTAGCTTTCTGTGTGCTTAGGTGCCCAAGCTACTGAAAGTCTGAGTCTGGGCAGCCAAAGAGTGTGGTAAGTAACAGTTGTCAACGCAAGGGCCATTTCATCGCTGGGAAGGGATGGCCCTCACCCACGGTGATGGTGGTTAGCATGATGAACAAAGATGCACAGACGAGAGCAGCAATTAACCAAAAGTTGATAGAAACTGGAGAAAGAGAACACCTCAAAGAATTGCTGAGAGCTAAATTAATTGAATGTGGCTGGAAGGATCAGTTGAAAGCACACTGTAAAGAGGTAATTAAAGAAAAAGGACTAGAACACGTTACTGTTGATGACTTGGTGGCTGAAATCACTTCAAAAGGCAGAGCCCTGGTACCTGACAGTGTAAAGGAGGAGCTCCTACAAAGAATAAGAACATTCCTTGCTCGGCATGCCAACCCTTAAGATTGCATTAGATCACGTTTTGTGGTTTTATTTCTGAAAATGACACCTGTCATAAATTAGAAATCAGTTTCCCAAAATAAAATCCTTTTTTGTATGATCGTATACAGTTTTCAGTAATGATGTATACATTGTATTGATTTTTTTCCCCTTAAATGTGTTATTTTAATAAATATCTCATGAATGGAAAAAAAAAAAACCCAAAAAAACCCCGCAAGCATTCAAGACGACGAACAAACCCCAGGAAGAATAGACCCCCAAAACAAAATCACCAAGGCATATCATAATCAAGCACTCCAAAGGAGAGAATCCTGAAAGCAGCTAGGAAAAAGAGAAGTGTTACTGACAAAGACAAGCAAATAAGATTACGCTCTGATCTTTCAGCAGAAACCAGACAGGCAAAAAGGCAATGGGGAGAAATATATAAAACCCTGAAAGACCAAAAACTGCCAACCTGAAAAAGCTGTCAATCAAATACGATGATGTGTTGGAGCAGCTGAGCTGAATGTCCCTGACTTGGGGGTAGTTTTACTGAAAGATTGCAACTGAACAGTTGTGGTCCAGAAACTCAGGCTGCATCCAAGTTAAGTCCTGCCCCTGAGGAACTTTCAGGGCTGCCTCACAGGACAGGGAACTTGCAAGGTCTTTCGCTATATTTAGCTATGTCCTTTGGATCAGCCTGTGCAACATTTTAGCCAGCTTAATCAGTGTTCCAGCTAGCTACCACAAGTTACAGGTTTTCTGATAAAGTTCCGTTTACTGCTGGCTCCTTCAGTACAACATGCTTTTGTACTCCTTACCCTCCCCTCAACCATCTCCCCTTGGGCTGTGTATAAAATAAACTTGCTGCCTTGGTCTGTGCTGCAGTAATTCGATCAGAATGCTGTGTCCCACCTGGTCCAACTATATATACTATTTTCAAATGTGTCTTGTGTCTTTTATTTCTCATCTCCGGTCGCTCCTTGTTGTTGTTAAGTACCATGGAGTCAGTTCTGACCCCGCACAGGG